AAGTAGGGTTTGGTGCTTTCCTCTGAGGGGGCCTGGGAGTGGGTTACCAATGGCCAGGGAGTTTGAAGGATAATGAATGTTTGTCAGGAAATGAAGACTTAGGGCTAGGACAAGAGATGCTAAATGTTGAAGACAGGAAGGGAGCTGGTAATAAGGTGATGTTTAGAAAGTTCTACAATGTTTTGCCACTCCCTCATGAATCCACCTCTTCCTGAATATATGAAGAAATCACAGAATCAAGGCTAGAGAAATTGGGTGTCAAGATGGACTTTACCTTGAATGTAACTGAAGCAGCCTAGATCATGAAGACTAATCAAATCTACATGCTTCCACTGACTAGAAAAGCTCTGTGGTTAGAGGGGATACATATGTGGTACCTCTCTGGCTTGTAAACACTCACTTTGAGGTTGCTTTGGTAACCACATAACATTTGCATCCATGCTGCCTGCAAGAAGATGAGCACTGGGTAAATCAGAAGCTTGGCAGGAAAGCTTCTTTGCTTACAAGCTACAAGTGAGTAGAATATGTCCAGGTAACTTGTGACTCTTCTGAGCATAGAGACCATTAAAAAAAAAAAAACCTCAAAATCAGACCCACGATTTGATAAACTCTGGCATATTTAGGGAAGTTGTTTAAAATCAGAACTTCTGAAAGTTCAATAAGGCCTGGCCACCAAATTTGTGATATCAAATTAGTAAAAAACAGAGGCATATGCAATATTAACAGAAATCTGCTGCAGTTATTACTGACGTGCTTAGAAAAGCAGCTCTACTCCACACCAGAAAAAAAAAAAAAACTGCTTTGCTGCTGCTGAGAGATGAGGGCTGTTTGGGGAATGCTGGTGAGCCAGTGTATCTAGTCCGTGAATAGCACCATGGATGGAGACAAAGCTGGGGGCCCTGTGCCCATGCTCTGGACATCTCATGAGTCAAGGGAGCTGCATGAGAGCACTCATGAAGGAGGAGGTTGGTGGAGGACCAGTGCAAGGTTTTAAGCATGTCTGGATGTGTGGAAAGCTGCTCAAAAGGGGATGGAATCAATATAGGACAGAGTTCTGATGGAGGGTGCGGGGGGGGGGGGGGCGCGGGGCTGGTTAGACATACACATTAGCAGCAGTTGCTACTACAGGCTGCAGCTTGGTCTGCACCCTTGGAATCTGGTCCCTGGTATTGCCTTGCAGACTTCCAGCCAGTATTTGCACTGGGCTTGACACTCTGCATGTCTGTCCTATCTCCTGGATTCACAGGACCAAGCCAGTCTGCTTGATTGAATCTGTGAGGAGCTTTTAGCTTAACTTTTATGATGTGGACCTACAACTCAAGGCATTTTAGCTAACATCATAGGTTAGTTTTGCACATATGGGACCACATACCCTAAAATTTTCAAGAGAGTACAGATTTCAACCAGCCTTAGCCAGAATTACACAGTAATTTGAAAAAATGACCTTATAGTGAAGGTCAATGAATATGGGGAGGCTGCAACCTAGACCACTAGACTGAAGTTCTTTGAGGGCCAGTTCTGAATCTCCTTTATCCTTGTAGGACAAGGCCTAGCCAGAGCATAGAGGTGTTGTGTTTTCAATACAGTGTGAACGAATGAATGCCTCTCAACTGTATTACAAAGATACATGTATAGCTTATTAGGTCAAATCAGTATCTTTATATTAAATGTGTCTTAAATTTGGTGTTTTAAAAAAGTTGTCTGGGTGTGGTGGTGCATGCCTGTAATCTCAGACACTCAGGTGGTTGATGCAGGAAGATTAAAAGTTCAAGGACAGCATTGGCAACTTCGTGGTACCCTGTCTTAAACTAAAATGAGGAAAAACAAAACAAACAACAACAAACAAACAACAACAAGAACAAGAATAAAACAAGATAAGACTGGGACCTGTACATGGTGGTGCACTCCTGTATCCCAGGGACTCCAAAGGCTGAGGCAGGAGCATCAGAGTTCAAGGTCAGCCTCAGCAATTTAGAGACCCTGTCTCAAAAGAAAAAAGAAAAGGATTGGGAATGTAGCTCATTGAGCCTTCTTGGGTTCAATCCCCAGTACCATATTTAAAAAAAAAAATGGCAGGGGTAGAGTGCCCCTGGGTTCAGTCCCTAAAGCCACACACAGACACACACATACAAAGGTGTTTGTGGTTCAAGTTAGGGAGATGGTAGAAAGGCTTTCTCTTTACAATTCATAATGCCAACTCTTCAAAAGAAAAAAAGTTGTAGCTGTTAAGTAGGAGTTCATGGACACCAGGATGGAGGAGACAGTGTATTAAAAAGAAGCCTCTGGAGGACAATAAACCCCATTATCATAACAACTGCAGGACTTATCACCATGGCAACTCCTGCCACAGGTTCAAATTTCAAAATTGACCAATGGTAGTAACGAGGGCATTATTTTAATTAGGTTTTCTAAAGTAACCAATGCGGGAGGGATTGGAAAAATTCTAATCAGGTATCAGAAGATAACCAATGGGAGAAAATGGGGTAAGGTCCTCCGTCAGGTTCTTACAGGGTAGAGAAGGCCCCATAGTTCAGGGTATAAGGCCCTAATTTCCAGACATTGGGGCCTTGAGCCTATCTCTCTCTCTACCACTGCCCACTCTGTTCTATCTAATGCAGTGCTATCGTCACCTGCAATAAATCTGGATTCTATCTGTTACTTCTGTGTGTCCTGGTGTCTTGCTCAGTTCTTTGTTCAGGATGCCAAGGACCTGGACTTCAGCTGATCATCCCAATAGTAACATAGAGACTGTGTAACAGGAATCTTTTCAAAAGATCTTCACACCATTGTACTTTGTTTTCTTGATTGGTGTACAGCTAGTATTCTCTATCAAAGAGTTCCCATAATGATTTAACCACCATGGGTGGAAAATATATAGGAAAAAATTGTGTCCGTGCTGAACATGTACAGACTTTTCTTGTCATTATTCCTTAGACAATACAGTCTAACAACCATTGCATAGCATTTACATTGCATTAGGTATTATAAGTAATCTGGAGATGACTTAAGGTGTATAGGAGGAGGTATGTAGGCTATATGTAAACACTAAACTATTTTTGTGGTTCTAGGAATTGAATACAAAGCTTTGCACATGCTTGGCAAGTGCTCTACCTCTGAGATACAACCCCAGCTCCCTAACTATACCATTTTATGTAATGAACTTGAGCACCTGATCCTGGGGGGCAGGTAGGGGTTGGCCAGGAACCAATGCCCCAATGATACTGAGGGATGACTGTTTTGAACATTGTGATTCCTTCTGGTAACTGAAGGTGGTGTTAAGGGCATTCATTGATGTAAAACTATGATGACTTCAGGGTCTAAAACAGTAGTTTTCAAACTTTTTGACCCTGATCCACTTTGAGAAATAAATTTTACCCTGCAACTTAACATGCACAAAAAGCTCCAAAGGATCATACTTATCTTTATCACCTAGGAAGCACTTTGATATTTCCGCTCCCCTGTCCTCCCTTCCTTCTCTTTCCATCTCTTCTCCTTTTGTTTAACATCTTGGTCCAACTCAATAACTGATTGCCCCACCATCATGGGTGGTGCCTAGGGTTTGTAAACACTGAAAAAGTATTCAGTTAGTTGCCCTGCCCCAAAATGGGCCTCAGCGTCCCCACTTTTCTTTTTCTGTTTCTGCAGTCTGTATCACTCCTTTTTGCTCTCAGGGCCTGCCACTGCATCCTTCTCCTTAGAGTTCTACTTCTCCAACTAGAAATCAGACACTAAGCTGGCTAGCGTGCTGTATGACTGAAGGCAAGCTGCTTCTCAATGAACCCGAAGGCACTCCTATGACTGGTGTGGAGTTTAGATGCAGTGATTTGGTCCTGCTCCAAAATGCACAGGGCTCTTGGCTGGGTTCCCAAGGCGCTTTACTCAGTGGCAGAGGTCATGATACTGAGGTGTTATTGAATGTGCCACATGAGAACACGAGCCCATGAGCATAGATTTTTTTTTCTTTTTTGAATGGAGTATTCAGATGATTGGGGCTCTGGCTGGTTGGGCTATAAGATGACAAATGCTCTTGAAGCAATGTTGCTTCATGAATGACAATATCTGGGCCCCTGTGTGTAAGGAGGCTATTCCCCAAGTCATTTAGCTGGCTTCTGGCAGTCTGCAAGGATGCAGTATTTTGGCTCTCCACCCTGAGCTGCCCTTTACCCTGTTTTGTTTTTTTTTTTTTTTTTTTAACAGCCTCTGCTAATCTATATTCCCACTGTCATGGTTTCATTCACCTAAAAGTAAAAAAACAAACTAATTAATATATGACATTTCTGGTTGTGTTTTCAAATGTGTGTCAAGTTTATGTGTGGTAGATATATTGATTTTTAAAAAAAATATAGCAAAAGGTGTAAACACTGTGCCTCTAAACAATCTAAATGGCAAGCAATCAGGCACTGGCTAAGTAAATTATTGGCACGTTCATTCAGTGGAATGCTGGAAACCTATAAAAATGATGATGCAGATCTGTATTCACTGAAATTTGTTCACAACAATTTTAGATGAAAAAAGCAGATTTCAAAGCAATGTCTATAATAGAATTCTACTTTTATTTTTAAAAATATAAAAAGATGCATAGAGATACATATGTACAACACACAGATACATACCTATAGGAAAAAGTTTGACAGTCTCACACTGAAATTTTTTTTCTTATTTTACTATTAGATTTTCTGACATGTAGGCAGTTTCTGCAGTGCATACTTTTTTATTTTTATTTTTGAATTCTCTTGATATTTTCATTTTAAAATTAAAAAAATTAATGTTTGACAAAGACTGTATATATGGAAGATGTACAACATGCTGTACATTCTTTTTATAATATAAGAACAAAAGCAATTTTCACTTTGAAAAAATAAAATACATATTATTATGCAAACTAGTCCTTCTGTTTGGAGCATAGCTCTTACTTGTATCATACCCCATTCTCATGTCTTCTTAACCTTTCATAAGAGTTCTATTCATATAAGGAAGGGTAAGTTGAATTTTTTTTTTTCCAGAAGTGCTGGGGATCAAACCCAGGGTCTCCTGCATTGCTAGGCAAGTGCTCTACCACTGAGCTACACCACCAATCCCTCTTTAAAATTTAATTCTATTTTTGAGACAGGGTTTGCTAAATTGCCCAGGCTGGACTTGAACTTGCTATCCTACTGCCTCAGCCTCTGAACAGCTGGGATTATCAGGTATAAATTGAATCTTTATTGAAAAATGTTTCCATTAAAGCATTTTAAGTCAAAGGACTGATTTCTGGTGGTCAAGTTCAAGTTCTTTTCTCTGATGGACTTAAGGAGTCATGTACACCCAGGTAGATGGCTTTGCTAGTTACTCCCTTGGAAGAAGCAGGCTACCGGCCTTTGTAGTCTTGAGAAAGACAAATTAAAAAGCTCACATTATCTATATTCTGAAGCTAGTTGTCTCCAAACTAGAGTCAATCCAAGCATAAAACAATTGTAGTTTAAGGATAGGAACAATCCCTAACTCTAGTTAGTTCTGTTCTCTTTCCAAGCCTCATTCACATGCATGAGATAACTGTTATCTCACCAAAAACCAACTGGGGAGGGAGAGGGAGCAAGCTAGCATGCCTGATATTTTTCTGTCTACAGATGAGGAAACTATGTTTAACAGAAGTGAGGCAACTTGCCCAAGCCCACCATATTAGAAAATGCTAGAGGCAGGATCCAAACCCAGTTTTCGTGTGTGTGTGTATGAACTTTTGTTTTTGATACCAGGGATTGAACCCTGGGTGCTTTACCAATGAGCTACATCCTCAGCCATTTTTATTTTGAGACACAGTCTTGTTAAATTGATTAGGGCCTTGCTAAATTGCCCAGGCTAGCCTTGAACCTGTGATCCTCCTTCCTCAGCCTCCTGAGTCTCTGGGATTAGAGGTGAGCACCACTGTGCAAGGCCAGTTTTCCTGTCTCTCCCCCTCCCCCACTCTTTATTCTATGCCATAGCATTCTTTCTAGAAATAGAGAAATCATATAATTCATTGTCCTAATTGGATGCCTTTGAAAATAAAAGAGGGTGCTATGTGGATGGATCCCAGGGCAACAGGCATAAATTTTGACTGTACCAGGCAAACTAGGTCACATGGTCATATGGTCATTTAAGATATAACCAGACAGACAGACAGACACAAACACACACAAATACACACTGGGAATTATACCTTTTGAATAAGAAAAATAAATGGAACAGAGTTACAATGTCTATAATCTATTTAAAAATACTTGAGTATAAAAAATAAAAATATATTAAAAATAAATAAAAAGTATCTGAATTCAACTTGTGTTCCACTGCGTATGCACCAATGAGTCTATGCTTTATCTCTCAGGGTCATCAGCTCTCACGCTATCAGAAATACAAAGTCTAGATTGGGTAACTGGTATTGATCAAAGAGGGCCATAATCCCAAATTGACTTCTTTAAGTGTTCCTGATTATTTATATATATATATATATATATATATATATATATATATATATATATATATATTATCAACATTCTGAACTCAAAAAAATGGATTTTATTGTTGAAACTTGTGATATAGTCTAATGAATGTCAGAAATGGGGTTTTATTGGTGAAATTAAAGATATTCAAGATATATGACCTAGCCCAAAGTCCTGACAGCCACACTCCAACCTGGATTTAACAAAGTGTTAGAATCCAGTGAAGCCTATCTCTAGGCTCTGAGGATGGCACTTGAGGCTTTCCGGGGTCCCACTATTGAATCAGGACTGTCTATAAGGGCACCATGCTGATTTGGGGCACAGTGTCCTTTCTCTGCAGTACTCATGCAGCTGCCTCAAATGAACATTTTGTGCAAGGTATGGCTGGAATATTTTGAAAGAGACAGAGCTGGGCTCTCATCAAGCTTACAGAATGGTTGAATCAACTGTTTGTACCTACTTGTTAATAATAAGGGGTTGTTTGATAAAGGCCTGTATCTGAGGCAGAATTCAGTCTTCTAGCCTCATTCACATGACCTGGTAGGGAGGTGATGGGGAAGAAGCCAACACTGACCACCTCAGTCTTCTATACTGGCAACTGCTTTCTACCAGAAAGAGTTCCACATGGCCAAACCATCATAGGTCAGTCCACAATGAATATGAAACTGGGTGAATCTGAAAAGGTTCCTTAATACAGTTTCCTCTCCACCAGGGATGAGCCTCTTGAACACAAAGTCAGGGGGTTGTGTTCATTGTGATAATCCCTAAGCCTCAAGAAAGTACATGGTGTATGTTTGTCCAGTGGATAAAGGGATTGAATAAGAATTCTGTTATTTCTAGAATTGAATTTATTAACTGTTAGTTGTGATTGTCCTTTATTCCATAAATAATAACTGATCCTCATAGACCACAATCTATTGCTTGCCTTGGATTGAATTTACTTTAAATAGAAAAAAAAAAGTAAGATAGTAACAAAAGCCATTGGGATTCTATCATTCATCCCCACAATAAAGCAATGAGATTGGTCCTCCCTCCCTCCCTCCCTCCCTCCCTCCCTTCTTTCCTTCCTTCCTTCCAGGCTTCTACCATTGAGCTACATTCCCAGCCCTTTAAATTTTTTTTTTTTTTCATTTGAGACAGGGTCTCACTAGGTTGTTCAGGCTGGACTTGAACTTGAGATCCTCCTGCTTCAGCCTCCAGAGTAGCTGGGAAAATAGCCATGTACCGCCACACCGGCATGGGTATTTTCTTTACTACTTCTATTCTTCTTACTTTCTAACATGTTATTGAACATACACATCTTTTTGGTGCTTCATCATATTTTAGAAAAAGCTGTTTTTGTTTTGTTTTTTGATGGAGAAACTAGATGAATGCTGGAATATACAACCCAGCTTTCCGTTCCTTTACTTTAAATATTTTGATTGAGATGTGGCCTTGAGGGATATCTAATAGTCTCTAGGGTCTTTGAGCTACAGAAAGGGTCCTTGGGAATCAGTTGCAGCTTACCCATCTCCAGGGCACCAGGCACTCATTTGGCTCATTCTGACACCCTCCCCACAGCACCCTTGCTGTCTGCCCCCTGGACTACCAAGAGCCTTTTGTTGTATGTCTGTGTGACTTGGTGCACAGTGTCCTTTCCCTGGAATGCTTGTCCATCCTTTTGTTCTTCACCTTGGTTAACTCCTTGTTTTCTTTTTCAAGTCTTAGTTCAAACACCAGCACACTTGGGATTCCCTGGTGAACCCGGCCACCCCTGCACTGCTGCCTGATCTCGCACGAGTCCCCTTCTCTATGCTCCTAGGACACACTGAGCAAACTGTTGCCTCGTTGTCTGGCTTGTGGCTCCCTAATGACCCGTGGATTCACCCCTCTTGTCTGCTCCACCATAAAAAATCCAAGCCAGGGACTTTGTCTCAGTACTGGCACATAACAGGCCCTTGGAGTGTGTTAGATAACAAATGAATAAATCAGGAAATAATTAGCCAGGCCACAGCACAGCAAAAGAAAACAGGAATCAACAGCAGCAGCAGTCTCTGCGGTCTGAGGACTAGCTAGGCTGAAATATTTCTCTTAGTTACTGGGCATAAAAATAATTTTTAAAGCCCAAGAACATCAGAGTTGTTTGTTTTTAACGAGAGGTAATAGACTACTTAACTCCAAGCGCTCTGCTCCTTGTTTGTTATAGAAACAAACAAACAAGCAAATAAACAACAACGCCTCTGGAGAGTTTCCAAGTGCAGCCAGCTCCCGCTGGAGGACACTGTGCCAGCTGCTGGCATCCCCGCCAGGACTTGAGGTGCTCCGACTGGCCGCAGGACAGGCTGCACTGGCACTTTGTGACGCTCTCACCAACTCCGGGCGACTGTCTGAGCTGAGATGTTTCCAGGTCCCAGATACAGACCAACAAATGACCTGAAAAAAGCTACAGCTTGATCTGACTGTGGGACTCTGGCCTAATGAAATAAACTATTCCCAGCAGAGCCTGACCCTGCAGAATGTAATTCTTTCTGACCACACTGTGTAGATAAAAATAATTTAGTGATTTCCTCCCACTAAACTCTTGGGCATAAACCAAGAAATCTGCAGAGTAGCTGTTGTGATGCTACTGTATAATTGTAAATATTTAATTTTTTTTTTTTGCATTCTTATCAGTGTTTATCAGCAGGAATGCATCCGGCATTTTAGGTGGAATAATTCTTCATTGGGTAAAACTGTCCCATGCACTCCAGAGCATTTAGCACCTTGGATGCAATCAATGCCAGTTACTATGATGGCTCCCAGAGGCACATTTCCATCTTGAATTCTGGGACACCAGTTGGGGGAGTCTTGAATTCATTTTGCAACCTGAGAATGTAGGAGGGGACCAAAGTGACCACACAGCCCACAGGTTGGATTCTAAAGGGACAAGACTTAGGAAGTTAGCAAGCACACCTGAGGCACAGGGACAACTGACCAAGGCCTGTCTGTGGGGGAGGCAGATGCCCTGAGAGAGGAAGGACACATCCATTCCTTTAAGTAGAGAAGTCAGATAATCAAGGAAGCTGGACTCATGGAAGCAAAGAGATCAGAGTAGAGCTGGAGTAGAGGTCCAAGTGGTGTAGATGGAGTAAAGAATGAACATAGGGTGGGGAAGGACCTGGGCAATGTTTTTTTTTTTTTTTTTTTTTTTGCGGGGTGGGTACCAGAGATGGAACCCAGGAGTGTTTAGCCACTGAGCCACATCCCCAGCCCATTTTTATTTTTTATTTTGAGACAGGGTCTTGCTAAGATGCTTAGGGCCTCACTCAGTAGCTGAGGCTGGCTTTGAACTCATGATCCTCCTGCCTCAGCCTCCTGAGCTGCTGGGATTACAGGCATGTGGCCATGGTGCCTGGCCTGGGCAATGGTTCTGAAACTGACTGTTTCTGAGTTCCCTCCTCACAGACTTCAGGGGCATACCAAAGGAATCAAGAGTGTGTGTGGGGCTGTGTGACTCAGTGGTAGAGCTCTTGCCTAGTATTTCAGAGGACCTAGGTTCAACCCCCAGCACCACCAAAAAAGAAAACAATTTAACAAAGGGTCAAGGTCATCATCAATTCTGGACAGCACTGCCCCCTGAAGGTTCTAGGAAAGACCCAG